TTGACAGGAAATGTGAAGAGATGCATTAAGACATTGATTGAAAATTCTAAAATAAATTTTCTATTCTAATATTCTAAGTTTATACTACATAATATAAAATAAAATAAAACCGCATACTATCCCAATATAACTGCGCAATGGATTTCGATGTGTTTTTTTACATAGTGAAAGGTATAGTTTTTTTACATAGTGCTAGACTATCAATACAATATATACTGTATTGATAATGCAGCACAGTGTTTACAATCATTATGATTGGAGCCTCCTTTTAGGCAGGTAATGCCTGTGTTAAGACAATCCACTCTTCCAAAACAAAAAGTGTCACAAGGCAAACAAGTTTATAAATTATACAATGAGTTATTTTAAAGTAGGTACCTACTAAATCTAGATAGGATTAAGTGTGGGAGAGCCATGCTTCGGCACGAATGGGTCGGCTCGACTGGAGTGATACCACGGCCTCACAGAAAACCGGGATGAAACATCTACAGCCTTGTGTTTCGCCGTGTGAGTGAGGTTACCGGAGGCCCAATCCTTTCCCTCCCCCAATCCCTCTTCAATCCCTAAATCTGCAAATTCCTTATCCCTAAACGATCGGCAACGCACTCGTTACTCCTCCGTTGCGGGTGTCAATAGGCGGCGCTGATTGCTAACCATCAGTTCATCCGTCTGCTCGTTTGCCGACCTATTACATAAAAAAAGATATATCTTATTTAATAAAGTACATAAGTGTGTAACAGCATGCGAATGTGTGTGTGGGCGTGTATGTAAAATAACAAGTATTAAATAGTGGAGATATTTAGTATAAGCATTGCAATCACGAGAAGCTGGGACAGGTCGTTACTTTAAAATAAATAAATAATATTTATTTTACACCAAAGGAGTTTGTGTAATTTATCGTAGTTGTCAAGATTTTTTTTTCAAAAATGGAATAGTTTAGCGTTGTTATGTTTAATTGTATGCGGCATTTAATTATTTGTGCCGCTATGTGCCACATTGTGGTTCGATGCGGCATAAATATGATTAATGGTAATGGTTGACCGCTAATTCACCGATTTTGTCGTGTGAACTGACGTGTATAATATAACTATAAATAAAATACTAATATACATAATTACCACAGACTAAAAAAACGTTTTAAAGTATCGGATAAAATATAAACATCGCCTAATTAATCAACAGTCATAATAAAATCAGGAAAAAGAAAACCCTAAATCTCCGATACCCTTATCCCCAAAATGCCAGCAACTCATAACTTCTCCGGTAATTGCTTACCGGAGGTCCAATCTTTTCCCTACTCCAATCCGTTCCCTTTCCCAAAATCTCCAAATCCCTAGAATCCCCAAAAGGTCGGCAACGCACTCGTAACTTCTCGGTCGTTGCGGGTGTCCATGGGCTACCCTGATTGGTTACCATCAGGTAATCCGTTTGCTCATTTGTCGACCTATCACATAAAAAAAACCATCAGGAAAACCGCATGCTCGTTTGTATTACCACATAAAAAAGCAAATAGTTACTTCTCCACAAACGTATGTCCAAACAAAAACTACAAAGAAATCAACTCCACATTTTCTTTTAATCAAAGAATAACAAAAAAGGCATAGAAAAAAAACCAAAATCCACAGTACACATTAACACACTGAAAAACCACCGTTCATTCTACCTAGTGACAATACAATACAATATTGTGTGCGAACGGTGTCAACGGAAGTCCTTTGTGAGGCCACCTCATATCCCTGATTAGCTGGCAGGCAATGCAATTAAGTCTAATGTCACATGTTTTCGGTGTAACCCGTGTAGGTACAAATCTTTTGCACCCTTTATGATTTTTAGTCTTTGTTTTTATGTCTGGTCATTTTCCACGCCATTGAATGTTCGTTTTCTTTGCGTTCTGTTTTTAAATTTCGTTAATGGAATATGATACGGTTGGTATTTCGTTTTTGTTTAAAAAACGAAACAAAATATTATTTCGATTTTCTATTGTTATTATTTCGGTTGGTATTGTTTAGTAGACATTCTTTACTTATTTAAATTGAGTTTAGTTTTTGTAGGACAACACACAAAATTTATGTACTTATTATTAAATTGAGCATACTCATAAAATTGGAGTTCCTTATGTAATAAGGACTATTATGATATTCTTTACTAACAAAATCTCAGAACAAAACTGTTTTCACGGATTCTTTCCGAACACAGACACCAAATCCGCCATAACAAATTCAGAAGCCATACTTACTCCTAAACAATATATAAATACAGTTTTAATGTATTAAAATCATGTGGTCTTTCTTTCATACCATTAACGAATGCAAAATAGCGAGTCACGCTAACACATTAACTTCTAAAACATAATTAGTATTAATTAGTAAGCTTTATTAATGGCCATATCTGCACAGTAACAAAAGGTCTTTCAAATATGCTGTGTCATTGATGTAGCATAAATTTCAATTTGAATAAAAACAATGAGCATCGTAAAAGAATTTCTCTTTCATTTGTTTACACTACAAAGGTAGGAAAAATGAATGGAAATGAAAGGTTTTTATGAAGTTATTAAATCTTACTGCATTCTAGTGAAAAGATACGTATATATATTTGTTTTTATCTCTTCTCGCGGGTCGTAAAAGCTAACTTAGGTACCTTCCGTCAAGGGTAGCTCGCTGCCAACCAGAACCAGAGCGTACGGCGCGCAGTGTTACGAGCGCGCCTACCACGGACAGGGGCAAATGCAATAAGGTACCGTGGCCTCGGCCCAGAACAGGAGAAGGAACGGGGGTTGGGAGGTTATTTAGTCAGTAAGAGTCTGACACTCCCTCTCGCCTCACTCCAGGCGAGAAGTGTCATATTTAAAGGATTTTCGCAACCAAAAAAGTTACTTATCCGTTTTGATAAACCTGTTATTTTTCAATATATTTTACGCATCTCGTATTTATTTTTGAGAAGGGACGTCATCAAATGCCTTGCTCGATTGCCCTGGGTAGGGTGAGAGGGAGTTTTAATCTCTTGCTGATTAAAAACAACTCCATTTCTTCTCCTACATGATATATTTTTCTCTCCAATATCTACATTATTGCGATTACATTCGCAACCATGGCTGTACATACGTATATATTACGCTTATGAGCCGTCAGCCAAGTTTTTATCAACAAAAGATTCGGCTTCGTTGAGAAGTGTAAAATATCTTCATACCATATCAGCTAATTAAACGTCTTAGAACTCTAAATTTTAATATGACACGAAACTCGACGTAAACCGAAACAATTCCAGTAGTGCCAACAAAATGAAAACTTCATCTAATCTTCATAATACATTCGCAATCTCAGAGTGTAATCTTGCCACACTTGGACCAGTATCTATTGAATAATAGACTCAAGGTGGAAGGTAGCCACGTTAATATTGTACACCTTAATTATACGGGATTAGTAGAACATTGGATCCATGCACCTGCGGACGTCTAACGTAAGCTAAGTGGGGATTATTGAGACAAGATATGTTTCAAGATGTATGGAGACGGTTTCAAGTCATTCTTCTTGTCGTCCGTTGGAATATTTAGTTTGCTTGTGTTTTATTTTTATTTTATAGTGAACTTTGTTCTCTGAGAACTGGTATTTGGTTGATCCTAATTCGTCGTTCTTTAACAAATGCTAAAATTGGTTGACTGTTCAGCACAAGCACTCCAGATAGATTAAAATGTCGGGTTTTTAGGGCTGAAATCCTTCAGTGACTTATATCGCTCTTTGTGAGACAGACTCTGGCTAACTAAAAGTAGGTAGATCCTTTTCTTTTTCCTGCTCCGAAGTCGGCCGCCACCAATCGTCTTGCTTGCCAGCAACCACCATGCACATGTAAAAAATCATTTGAAACAGTTTTAAATATTCAAAAGAAATATTCCTTACCTGTTTTTTTTTTTATTTTATGTCGATATATTCTTGGTTACTTAATGTACTCTAGAATTGAAGAACTAGCTTAAATTTAGTTTTTGTGACTATAATAACATTACCAGTAGCATTTCTTAAAGATTATGAGTCAAAAATATTATTTATTCATTATTACTTATTAAAATGCGCAAATACAATGTTTCTATAATACAATTTTCGACATGGTCGGTTTAACGGTTTCTTTTAAGGTCAGCAAACGAGCACACGGGTTACCTGATGGTAAGCAATCAGCGCCGCCCATGGACACCCGCAACACCAAAGGAGTTATAAGTGTGTTGCCGGCCTTTTAGGGATAACGGCTTTAGATATTAAAGGATTGGGAAGGTATTAGGTAGGAGGAGGGATGTTTGAAAATGTAATATTACACAGCCGAGCTACTGAAACCAAGTATAAAAAATCACCTTCAACCATTATCTTGAACAAATTCAACAGTAATCGTGCAAGTGCCATCTAAAAACCATTCGTTAAATAAATAAATGTACAATCTAGGAGTCTATCCGTGTTACTCTTGGCTGGTAAATAATAAATCGGTCGTTTTGCCCCGGGGCAGGCGTGTAATATTATCATCCCACTCCCCTGTGGAGAGCACTAACAATGCTCATATCTGGTTCCTTTATTCACTAAAACGTGACCTGTACTCAGACTAGATTTAATTTGATGCCAGGAACTAGAACTAGACTGTTTTCGATGCTGATTTTTGATGTAGATCTCCTTCTATGATGGAGGAAATCAAAAGGAAATACTATAAAAAAAAATTGGTATTATTTGTTAAATAATACAGACTTTGATTGCGAATTGTTTATTTTATGTGCGAGGTAATATACATATGTATGTATACATTTATTTATACAAAAATTTAATAGCAAACACATAGATTTTACAAATATGTAAATGAGGCTATATATATCCATTTATTGCGATTGTGCGAAATAATTTAAAAATTAAAATCAGGTGACAAGATAAGTAATATGCATTATGTAGGTAATAATTTCAGCACTAAATTTTAAAATAGGTCACAGAGTTAAAAACAAATCCAATCTTCGGTACTTCTTTCTTGATGACCTTTTGTCAGTAATGTGCAGTATCACAGATACTGCTTTGAAAGAACTTGGAGAAGAGAATTGGTCCCTGAGAAACAAAGAGTTCCACAAGACTTATCTCCACTTTACTTTCTGCCACAAAGATGGCCCTCTGAAATTCAGGATCTGAAAAAGTAAAATATCTAGTTAAGACAAGTATGATCACAATCATGTCTTTGAAAGCAAAGTTAAACGGGCAAAATTAATATTTCAATTAGGTCATTCTAATTTTTAGACTAATACTAGCGGCCCGCCCCCGCTTCGCACGGGTCCAACTAACTCGCTATCAAAGGGTCACCTTTTCCTAATCTTCCCCTCTACTTTTCTAATATTTTCTTAGATAAAACCTTCTCCTGACAATAACAAACACAACAAAAGAAGAATTAGCAAAATTGGTCGAGGCGTTGTTGAGTTCTGCGCTTACCAACACATTTTGCGATCCATTTTTATATATAAGATTAATAAGAATGTCTGTAATCGAGGAAAGCAATATTATCATACACCTGGACTGGCAATCTTGTATCTTTTTTTATTTAGTAATGGGAAAGAAAAAAACAACATTACTATCTACCCGAAGTGGCAATTGAACCCAAGTGTGTTTTTTTTTATTTATTATAAGGCAGGCGTTTGCCCGCTATCACGCCTAGTGGCAAGCAATGATGTGACCTACGATGAAGCACACCAACCCATAAGCAACCTATTCTATTGGGCCTTGAAGACACCCAGGCACCCACCCTTCGGGGAAAACAGACTCCGGCAAAGGTTCCACTCCTTCGCGTATTTCCTTGGTCCTTTGTAACTAGTCTATCATATTATAATTCTTTGTAATTCTGCTAAGGAGGCAATTCAAATTATCCTTTAAAGAGGTTCTCATATACGATATAGCTGATTTGCTAAACTATGACCATTAAGAATTTATATTATAACTTTCGTGAGACATTCTAAATTATTTATTATGTTTTCGGCTTACTCACGTAATAATTTGACGAGATACTCGACTAGTTTCAAGCCATGCTAGAGGCCCATATTGTCGCGGAATGCTGCTCATGAATATATAAGAATTTAATATAAATCCTACCTTTAATCTTATAAATGTCAGGTCCTAGCACGTACACCGGTTTGCTGTCAGGTACATACGTGAAGACATGAGCTTCAGACAGCTGAGGGTCCTTGAGATCAGGAATAGTCAAGGTCATAGATAGGCCTTCTGTTGAAAATGGAAAGGTATATTTATTAAGTGAAAGTTTATTTTTCTTTGTTTGCAATTTATGTACCTTCCATAAAGATATGTTAAATTTGAGTCTTCAAGCCCTATTCAGGAAATGATTTTGACAGAATCAATAATATTACATCAACCAAAAATAAATCTATATACTTATATTATTTTAAGATTGTTTCTTTGTATGAACATGCTAAACTCAGAAACTAACAGTTTTATTTGAACAATGTTTTTTTTTTCATTTCTAGATGAAGGTTAATAATTTATATTGGAATACTTCAAACTACGATCATTAGGTGCCGAGCAGTAGGTGGTAGGTGGAAGTAGCTAGCTATAATATAAAAAAAAGATTATTTAATAATTATAATTATCTTACTGTATTCAATTTCGGTATAATCAGCCGCTTGTAGTGGTTCCTTGCCTCTCCGGTAATACGTGACGATACATTTAGGAGTATGCACCACAATACTGTCAAACACCACCTCCATAACTAAAACGCCTGTGATTTTGTTGATACTGAAAATTAAGATAATATGAAAATTAAAATATCCAATTTAAACAAATATTATAAATGCGAAAGTAACTCTGCCTGTCTGTCTTTTCTTTACGCCTGAACTACTATACCTTTTTGAAATTTGGAACAGATGTCTGTTCTATGTAAACTATGTAGTTTGGAACTCGAGAAAGGACATAGGATAGTTTTTTAGCCAATCTGCAGGAAGTCACTATTTGACGCGAACAAAGTCGCGGGCAGAAGCTGGTTTTAAATAAAGAAACAAACAGCTTACATTTTATTTCAGCGCAACGCAACAGAACAACTTACTCTTTTCACATACCTACCTATTATTATTGTTGTTCCGGGTCTGGATGTCATGTGTACATATATGTGTGTAAACGCACTCACGACACAGGAGAAAATCCTAGTGGAGGAAAAAGTGTAAACCAATGAAAAACAAATTCTTAAATACTCACTAGAACTCCTTAATCTTCCAACTATTGAGGCCTTTGATTTCAGGATTATTCAGTGTAAAAGTAAGATTCGCATGTGGTGTGGGTAAGAAAATCTTGTCAGGCACAAATGGATCTGGGGCTGGTCCTTCGGCGATGGAACATTGGGTGTTGTAAGCGAAAAAACCTCGTATGCAGTTCACGTCATGGATGGAACAAGGTCTCACGATGGATTGTTCGTAGTGAGGGTTCCTGGCAAAAGCGTGGTCTGAAAATAATATTAAATATTGCTATATGAAGTAACAGACAGTAGGGTAAAATAAACTTATTATTTAATGCCTAATTTATTTATGCTGTAATGTTTTTTTTTATATGATTGCACGGCTTATGACCTGACGCACGAACGATCTGGCGGATTACCTGACGGCAACACTAAAATAGTTATAAGTGCCATACCAGCCTTCTTAGGGTTTAAGCTTCCGAGATTTAAGGATTGGGGAGAGTTTGGTGAAGGGCAGGAATTATTAGCCCTCCGGTAACCTCACTCAAATGACGAAACCCAAACGCTGTGGTTATTTCACGTCGGTTTTCTGTTACAAGAATGGACTTAACGCCGAATGGCATTCCCCACCAGTCAACCTTAAGGGCGGTGAAAAGAAGTGTTAACCTAATAGGCTTTAAACGTCAGTAAAGCAATCACGGAATTTTACGATTGCAAATAATCAGTTTTCACAAGTTTACCTACTGTTGATATTGGAGGGACGTAATACAAATCACTTGCTCTTGTATGGTCTCCAGTATAGAAAGTTTCTTATCCATGGCTATTGGTAGTCTTGCGTTAAAAGTTACACATCAAATCAAGACCCTGTATGCCTATGCCTAATGCCTACTGCTGAGCAAAGACCTCTTCTCACACGTAGAAGATTTGAGCATTAATCACCACGGCACGGCGGCTTGTTCAAGGCGGACTGGCGAATTCAAATTTATATTCAGGAATTTAAAAAGGTTTCCTCACAATGTTTTGTATCACCGTATGTTAATGGTGTTTTGATAATCATAGAAAGTACGTATAACTCGGAAAAAGTCACATTCGTTACTTACAAGGTTTCGAACTCATGCAAACTCAAGCGAACATCTTAACCTCCGAGCCACTAGACTCGTTGTAAGTCTTTTTTTTTATGTAATAGGTCGGCAAACCAGCAGGCTGATTACCTGATGGTAAGCAATCAGCGCCGCCCATGAACACCCACAACGGAGGAGTTACGAGTGCGTTGCCGACCTTTTAGGGATTAGAGATTTGGAGATTTAGGGATTGAGGAGGGACTAGGGGAGGGGAAAGATTGGGCCTCCGGTAACCTCACTCACACGGCGAAACACAACGCTGTGGTTGTTTCACGCCGGTTTTCTGTGAGGCCGTGCTATCACTTCGTTCGAGCCGACCCATTTGCGCCAAAGCTTGGCTCTCTCACACTTAGCATGGCTCTCCCACACTTAGAGTAACTCTTAAATATATATTTTTGCCAAAACTCACCAGACGAATCTCCATGCCAAGCACTAAACCCAGAGCCATCTTTGAAACAATAACAAAAGTGAAATAAAACAAAAAAACAAAAAACGATTTTCATTATAAAGAATACAAGTTGGTCAATGTTTTCGTGGCAAAATAGAAATATGAACTATGAAGTTTATAAATTTATCTGTTGTTTCAATGCAATTGCTGTATCGCTAGCTAAATAGACAAAGTTTGCATGTTAAACAACGGAAATAATTATTTTTTAATTAAGAACTTAGTAAGACTACTCGCTATGGTTTATCGATTAAAATTCAAATTAGTATAAGTAAGACAAGATAATTTGAATACAAGTCATAATTACGGTTAATTAATTATCGTATGTGTACCTTATTTGATAATTAATCGATTTTACATACGCTTGCACAGTTGTACTAAGGCTTATGGCCTGAAGGGATTGGCAGAGAGTAGAGAAATCAATTTTCAAATAAATATTTTAAAATTTGTTAGTATATTTTTTATGTGTTTTTTAAATGTGGGAGAGCCAAGCTTCGGCGCGAATGGGTCGGCTTGACCGGAGTGATACCACGTCCACAGCGTTGTGTTTCACCGTGTGAGTGAGGTTACCAGAGGCCCAAACCTTCCCCTCCCCCGATCCCTTCTAATCCCTAAATCTCCAAAACCCTAATCCCTAAAAGGTCGGCAACGCACTCTTAACTCCTCCGTTGCGGGTGTCCATGGGCGGCGCTGATTGCTTACCATCAGGCAATCCGTCTGCTCGTTTGCCGACCTATTGCATAAAAAATGTTTTATTTACGTATGTACATACACTGAACAGGAACACATGTTTCTTACTTCCTTCCATATAATTTCATATGCAACGAAACCAGAACTAGTAAACACTATTATTACTTTAACTTAAACTACATTTTTTTAAATTTAAACCAGTACTTTCAGAGATTAGTGTGTTCAAGCAAACATACAAATGCGAAAGAAACTCTGTCTGTTTGTCTGTCTTTTCTTCACGCCTGAACTACTGAACCGATTTCTGTAAAATTTAGTACAGACATAGTTTGGAACTCGAGAAAGGACATAGGATAGTTTTTATACCAAATATCTGCAAGAAGTCACTATTCCACGCGAACGGAGTCGCGGGCAAAAGCTAATATCACTATATATTGAAAAATAAGTTAAAACTAATTTGAATAATAACAAAAATAAACACAAAAAATAAAACATAACACAAGTTAAAAGAAAACAATCCAAATTGAATAAACATTTATGGTTTTCAGTGTTATAATTATTAAAAATTCGGTAGGTACCTTTTTATCGTCATTTCATCATGTAGATTCAGGGAACAATAATTTCTTTAAAATACTTTTATATTGCGAAATCAGTACTTTTATAATAGATATCAGGCAGGTCTCTGTTATTTGAAAGTTTTTAGTAGATTGTGAGAAATCAAAACATTGTTGTTGCGTGTAACAGATCTGCTGAGGATCCGCTGGTGGATCTACATTCACCAGCGGAGTTGTGGGGTTGTGGGGCAAGCGCAATTAGGTTCCACGGCTTCGGCCTGGATCACGAGAAAGAACTTAGATGTTTAAGTCAGTCTAACACTCCTTCTCGCTTTACCCTGGGTGGGAGAAGTCCTTCGAGGAATATCCCCTTTCAAAAAAAAATCAAATAACTTCTACATCCAGGCAGGACGAAATAGACTGTAGGACTAGGTCTGCAAATCTCTGTATTCCTTCTCCTGCTCCGAACCAGGGCCGTGGCATATATCACTGTTACATCCATAACCCCAGCTGACGATGCAAGCCTGGGTGTTCTAGGTTTGCCATTAATAATACTATATAATGAATTCTCATACCCTGTATGTTTTAAGAAATACATTTATAGGTATACATAAATTATGACGCCGAACTTTAAGAACTATATAAATGAATAAGTGAGGTTTAAACATAGGTATAATAAATCAGAATAAACGCAGAATTAAATATTTATTTATTTACATTTTAAAATACTACATGCACCGTAGTCTCTTTATTAACATTTGAAAAGAAAATTGTAAAATGATAACGTGCTGATACAAGAAATACTTATGTAAATGATTTAATGTCATCATTATTTAATTATAGTAAGTGCAAATAGTGTTTTGGAAGAACAGTGAAAAGAATATTTCTCCTTGAGTCACAAATGCCTCTTGAAGACCTAAGGCAACTCTATCCAGTAAAGTCTTGGTCGTACGTTTGACGTATTCATCTGTAATTAAAATTAGTTTTTTGAATAATGACCATCGTAAGACATATTGAAAATAACGACATACTAATGTGAATTCACTGAGAAAGACTCGACTATTTTCTAGTCACAACGGGACTCTTATTCATGAGCAGCGTAGTCGCCTCCGCAACGTAGCCAACGTAAAATACAATAAATTAAGTATAAGTCTTCGTTTTTGTAAGGGGAAAATCATTGAGTGGCTTCTCCCGCGCAAGGTAGAGCGAGAGGGAGTATCAGACTCTTACTGACTAAAAGCCCCGTCCCTCTCCTGCTCTATACCGAGGTCACGGTAACTCATTGCGCTAATCTCGCAACCCCGATTGAACATCAGCCCTATAGGGCCCCGTCTGAGGTGGTCTAATGGCTCTTAGAGGCGCGCGCGGAACGCTGCTTGCCTTCCGCTCGGAAGTATAATTTCAGCTTATTCTCTCAGTTAATTCATCAGCTTTTCTAAGTTAATTACAGTAAGTCGTCGTTATTTTCAAAAAAAAAAAAAATTAAACTGTGTATAAAATAATATAATTATTACCTTTATTGTCAGTGAAGATAGGTCCCAGACCAGTTCTAGGATTGGAATCACTTACGTATGTGTAGACATGGTTTTTGGACATATCGATGTTATTTATTTGAGGCGCAGTTAATGTAAGCGATAGATTTACTGAAAGAAAAACAATTGTTTAAGGATACACAACTCATAATGAAGAGGAATTGTTTATTAAGGAGGTATTAATAAAAACTAACCAAATTAAAAAAAATAAGTCGATGGTAAGACCATACCTAAAAAATTTCAAACTACAACAAAATCTCCACAATGTTTTCTAAATTCTCTATTTCTAATACAATTAACGAATGTTGAATCTTTTCCTTACCCCCAAACCAACCCCAAATTCTCTAATTATAAAATCTCTAATGTCCAAAAAGTCGACAACATATTCGTAACTCCTTTTGTCTTGGTGTGTCTAGGGGCACTGCCCCTACCCTGTTTGCTTACCATCAGGTCATCCGTCTTCTCATTCTTCAAACAAAATGTATATAATATCGGTATATTACTAACAGTACTCTATAAACGCGTAGTCAATTAAGTCCAACGGCTCCTTCCCTTTCCTGTGATAGCTTATAATAGTTCTTGGAGAATAAATCCAAAGTCTGCGGAATTCCACCTCCAACAGGACAGTATTTGTCTTTTTGTTTACACTGAAACAGATAGTAAAAGAAAAAGATTAATAAATGATTTTCCTTTGGAATATGCAAGCATCAGATATTATAAAATAAAATATATGTCTTCTGGGAAAGCCCTCTACCTCTCTCTAAGCGATATAAGTACTTTCACGCTTTAAAACATTCTACGATTAATCAGAATCTGCTTATTAGCAAGAGAAGTAGAAAGAAGAACAAGAAAAATGAGTTGATGTTAATGAGTTTGTAAATTAGTTCTTTTAAAAGAGTAACAATTGGGGTTTTCTTTCTTCTTCATACAAATCTATATTTTGGAAGGTGCACCCAGTTGCTACACTAACGGCAAAATATATTTTATTTTTAACGTTTTTAAGTACCTGCGAATAGTTTTATATAGCCTTTTAAATTAATGATGAATTCAAATATTAATAGATGGGAAAACAGGTTACTAAAGAACACATGAAAATATTGCCTGAAGAACTAAATTTAAGAAAAAATAGATGATAGCAATATGAATGTAAATGGAAAAAAAATACGTAGTACAGTGATTATCTCAAGGTGTGACAATGATATAACAAAGTAAGTATATAATCTTGAACTCTATTCTTCAAAACACAGGTGCTATTTTAGCTTCTACATACAAGCGTAGATACTTACTAAAACTCAGCAATTTTATAGTCATTGAACCCTTTAATGTCGACATCAGTCAAGATGAAGGTCACATTGACATGGGGTATATACATGGGTACACTTTTAACCCTATAAGAGTCCGGGGCAGGTCCGCTTGGCAGGGTGCATTGAGAATTTTGAACAAAGTACTGCTGAATGCATTTTATGTCTTGAAAAGAACAGGGACGCACTATAGCTTCTTCATCTGAAACTGGAAAAAGTAATAGGTATAGTATATAAAGAGAGACACGTATGGTCAATAGTACCTAAATAATTAATTATAAAAAATATATTGAGAAAACCATTTTTTTATGTAATATGTCGGCAAACGAGCATACGGATTATCTGATGGTAAGCAATCAGCGCCCATGGACACCCATGACAGAGGAGTTACGAGTGCTTTCTCGACCTTTTAGGGATTAGGGTTTTGGATATTTAGGATTAGATTGGGAGGGATCGGGGGAGGGGAAGGATTGGGCCTCCGGCAACCTCACTCACACGGCGAAATACAACGCTGTTGTTGTTTCACGCCGGTTTTTTGTGAGGCCGTTGTATCCGAGCCGACCCATTCTTGCTGAAGTTTGGCTCTTCCACACTTAAATTATTGTTTCTTTTCCTAACACAGTACAATGTATTCGTTCCAAAGAAAAACTGTAAGGCCTGGGTACTATAAGTCCGAGCGTACGGTGCGTAGAGTTCTAAAGACTCAATAGACAATCACAAATGGGGCTTAACAGGGCTGATGTACAGCCGAGGATGTGGATCAAGCGCAATAATGCAACGTAGCCTCAAAACCTGCAATTTTTAGTCAGAAAGAGTCTGACATACTCTCTCTTCCCTCGTCAAAAATAGGAGTAAATTCTCAAATCGAAAAAAACAGTAGATTTTTTAAGGATCTCTTACTATGTTTATAGTAATAAAACTAGTACATTTATTATTTTATTATTAGTATAAGTACCCCATTAACTTATACATATAGCACATGCAGTTTACAAAAATAACGTTCTATATTCAAATATATCTCAAGCATAGCGGCCACTTTTGTTGTTATTTACTCTGTTTATTTTATTAAAGCATTGTGAAACAGCCAATTATGCTAATACTTAATTTCTCAACTATTTTATCAATGTTTTTATACATATAAACCCTTGTCTTCAATCACTATAACTATTAAAAAGATAGGTATATAGGGACAGAGAAAGCGACTTTGTTTTATACTACGTACGTAGCGATTTAGAATTGTGCAAATATATTTATTTACATGTAACTCACCATAACTACCACCATCATTGATGATTCTACTCCAAAAATTATTTGAAGTTTGTCCACTGCCAATTTCGGCAGAGGAACAAAGTTTTACAAGAAGAAGACAAAATATTATCTTCATTGTTATTCTTGTAAACCTTTTCAATGTACATCAATAAATCAACTGAAACTTGATAGGATCGTATATTTAAATTAACGTTTATACATTTATGTTAATTAAAAACTTAATTGTTAAATGATTTTAATGATGTATACATACCTACCAGTAATTTGTAACTTACTTAGATTTGTACGGTTCATTTGTTTAAGGGTAAGATTACATAGTTTCTATAAGTTATTTGTAATGACTATGAAATTAAGTAATACTGACTACATATTTAAGGTTTTGAGACGACGACTTCAGCACAAATGGATTTAAGAAAACTCCAAAACGCTATTCCCCAAAAGGTTGGCCACGCAGTCGTTTCTCCTCCCGGGTGCCCATGGGCAGTGCTGCTTGCTTATCATCAGGTAACAGTCCTGTTCATTTACTGCCCTATAACATAAAAATTTGAAGCTGAAATCGCATACTCGTCTTGACTAAGCGTTGCGATAAATATTCTTCGTGTGAGAAAAGGCCTTTTGCTAAGCAGTGTAAAGTCATGATTCAATTCAACTGAAAATTATCATTATTATTCGAAAGAATTATTAATGTGTTTCTTTTATTTATTTATTTTTGTAGAAATAGGAAAAGCATTTACGAGTAAAAAGTAAGACAATTTTCTTCTAAGAATATTCCAATATTCAAAACAACGGCGTTCAATACCCACGTCAGTAGTTCGACAGCCGCTAAGTTTCCTCTGTACTAACGAGGTAATTAAAAGTAACCAGCCATTAAATATTTGCGTGATAATGATAATGTGCAGTAAGATGATCATGTTCAACATTGATTTATGAATTAATAACTTATATATGTACAAGCAAGGCTTTTAATTAATACGGCCATGCGATTTGTTTTATACTTGTATTTTCAGGTCATTGGGTATTATAATAGCAGTTAAATTTTATCTACTTATCACACTAACAAAGTGTGGGAGAGCCACGCTTCGGCACGAATGAGGAGTGATACCACGGCCTAATAGAAAACCAGGGTGAAACAACCACCGCGTTATGTTTCGCCGTGTGAGTGAGGTTACCGGAGGCAAAATTCTTCTCATATAATATGTTAGAGAGATAAAAACGAAACGAAACGTAAACGTATATAGTTTTGTTACAAACCAAAAGAGTCTGTATCGCTTTTCCCAAAAATGTAGGTACTCGAAACTTGCTTAAAATAATTTAGAAAAAAAAAATGTTCAATCCGAATTATTTTCGTGTAAAACTTTGAGAGCGTAAAATTTGGCACCTTCACTTCACCATATAATCCGGAATTTAAAAGTCCAAACAAATTCGTCACCAAGTATCTTGAGGCTCTGAACTCCGTTCATCCCGGATTACCATATTTTAAAAGTAATTCACACCTGTTCTCCTTCAGAGTCGACCGCGCACCGGAACTTTTGAAATGTCACAGATTAAGGAGTAAATGAAGGAATAATGTGCGGTGACCGAAAGGTATTAGAGTGAAATAAAACGAAATGCAATTTTTATTGCTACAATTTCTTTAATACTGTTTTGCTGAGAGTTTGTGAAATGAGGTTTGTTGGTAAATCCTGTTTTTAGGGGGGAAGAAGAGGTGGGAATCTCATTGTGTCTTTTTTGCTCTGGTTTGGGCCAAGAAACCTCCCCATTCCTTCTCTTTCTCTAGGCCGGAGCCACGGTACAATATTACGCTTGACCGAACCCAGAATGGGTGGTAAAATCCTTAATATATTTTTCCTAGTTTTAATAGTACTTATAGTATTTTAATTGGATAATTCATCATACCTATGCGAGCGTTCGCGCACCTGTTGTCATACTATTGTGTCTAGAATTACCAATATTGAAATTTTAATTCATAATAAGGTCCCCTGCTATTTGCTCCCTAATAATTACCAAAAATACTGCAATAAATATTTTCACCTTTTAGACAGCAGTATACTACGTATCATGCCAACATAACTTATCATCAAATCTTAAATATACCAACAGGTCTCTCCATTAACTAATTACTCTGTGGTGCAAAAACTCCCAAGTTCCGCAGTTCAGTGGAATCTGTGAAAACCGTCGCCCCGTCTACTTCAGGTGTTAATTTCACAAAATTGTCTTAACGCTTCCTTCTGATTACTGATTCACATTTATATTAATTGTGGCCTCAACTTTGTCAAGCGATTAACGACTTTATTGTTTTGTGCATTCTTATTGTTTTGAGAGTTGTGTTTTTGTCAATATTTTGACGATTTGTTATTTCAGGATAACTGAAAATCTTTAACTTTTCATTGTCTTATCGAAACTCTAAACATTGCAAAAAAATTAGAAACATACTAAGGTATCGTGGCATGTCGTAATACACTAGAAGGTGCCACTTTTGTTTAACGATAAAGATAATTTTATTTGTTTTTTCTTTTGAATTTGTCATGACAATACGTGGTATGACACGGCACGACATACAAGTGTGTTCTTAATTTAAATAAATAAATGTATGGAACCGATATACTATTGCATCACGACACACCGCATTATCATTGCAACATATACCTCCCCTCCCCCTTTCAGGGATACCTATGGTCTATAGATTTAGGTTATTATTAACTAAATGTAAACATTCTTGGCATGTGTTTTGTCTGAAAATTATATGTATGTAAAATGTTTAAAAACAGGTATTTCCCTAAATAGATGATAGCTAATAAACTAAATTTCAATAATCTTTATGCATTTTTATTATAACTTTCGTGAGACATTCTAAATTAATTATTATGTTTTCGGCTTACTCACGTAACTCAGCGACTGTCGCTGTCACTCGAGTAGCCAGTAGCAGCGCGACAGTCGCCGCGTCGCGTGTCGCGGAATGCTGCTCATGAATATTGGCCTCTAGCATGGCTTGAAACTAGTCGAGTATCTTACCCAAATTATTATGTGAGTTAGCCGAAAACATAATAATTAAATCTTTATGCATTTCATACGATCTCTTTAATATAAAGAGACATGCCACGATTGTTTACTTTAAGGTAACTACCTGAACCGATAAACCATAGGAAAGTTTAATTTGATGAATATATTTAAGTACATACATACACAACAAAATAACTTTGTTTAATATACGTAATTAGGTAATACAGGAAGTTTTACCCTATTCAAATAAAATCGTTACAAAGAATGTTTTGTCTGTATAACATTATATATGTACATATACGCTTGTATCATGGTATCCTATTACTCCAACATAATTTCCTTATTACTCTATTGTTATTATAGTTACCCCGTACAAGTTAGTAATATGTTAACATGTTAAATTAATGAAATTCACAAATTCACAAATATACTTCACATACAAATTCTGTTGTATTCATCATTGTTATAGGGGAGAGGCGTGTTTTGTGCGAACAGTCTAGCTCGATCGGAATGATACCATTATGGCACAGAAAACTGGCGTGAAATAAAGCTTAAGTTGTTTCGTTACTTAAGTTAGGTGAAAACGCTCTTGAAACGCCTGTAGTGTTACGATTGTCCTCTAAGAAACCTCTTTTCATACATACAGTAAAGGTCTGAGCATTAATCACTAATAACGCTTGTTGAAAGCGAATAAACTAATGCTGGCCAAAAAGTCGCCAATTCACGCGTTTTAACAAAATCAATCCTACGTTAGTGCCTTCCATTGGCACACATCGAGGCGAAAAATTCCATCGTTCAAAGAACATTTATATCTAAAGTTTAATACCATTAAGTCGTCGCCGAGTGTGACGATAAACAAGCGACAATGCACGACCGAATCCACTCAGCTAAATTAACTCAGTGGTAGCTCCTTGTTGCTGCATTAGGGCGCGGGTTACACCGACGCGTAACGTGTTTTATGAGTAATGCTGAGAGTGTGCAATATTTATTTTAAAATAAAATATGTGTTTAAAATGTCAGTAATAATTTGAATACATGTTGTGTGTGCTAGCTAATATTTCAATAATAACATGTGCAATAAGGTTATGAGAATAAGTATATTTTTTAAATTGTTGTTTAAGTAACGCAATGTTTTACGATAGGTACTTTTTTGTCTTGTCACTCAATTATTAGAGAGTATTTCAAACAAATTACGATACGAATAAAGAAACTAAAAAATCAGTAGCAATGGATTTCTGTTTAAATGGTGTAGCGGTTACTGCGTTCAACTACTCCTGTATGAATATTTATTATTGAGGTGGATTACATAAATGTCAATACTTACGAAATTTTTGACTGACTCTATCTCTCTGACTTTAGCTACGAATCGAGTGATATTGTGTGTAGGGACAATTATCCAATGACTTGGCGAGAGGGAGTGTCAGACTCTTACTGACTTAAAACTACCACGTACCTTCTCCTGCCTTACCGCTATTTTTTTAAATTAGGTACATATTATCGACTAATATACCTCTCTTTCTACTTGTTTATAACTTTGAAATTATAAAATAATATACTTAACGTAAACACATTTATTTGGCTCGTAAGAGGCAGACAGCCTCGCTCGCTCCGGTGTGAGCGACATCCACATTTATTTGTATTTCGTATAGGGGAATCCGATACGCGGCCCCGAACAGGCGAATATATTGGATTGCTCGGAAAAATTGTTGGCCAAATCCTTTGTGATCGTTTTAATGGCATTTTCTATTTCATGAGCGAAGAACGTTTTGATTCCATAACGAGAATTTCAACGGATTGTTTGGTTTTTAAGAAAGGAATATGGATTTATGGATTTATGGATTACGGTGAATTAAATTGCTGTTTACAATAAAAAAAGGTATTGGACGTCTTTTGTTAATAAAAAATATTATTTTTATTTTGTATCGAGAGATTTATTATTGTATTAAATTTGTAAAAGAGTATTCAGGTATTTTTAATAGTATCTATTGTATAATATTGTATTATATTTGTTATATACATATAGAAGAAATTGCTCTAAATCTGTTACTCTAAATTTGTTTCCATAAAAATATAAATACAAATAATAACCAACATATTTTTTTATGTTGTCTAAACCAAATGGAACTGTTTACGTATCTCTTATATGGAATGAAAATCAATTTGAAGATTCATTTTTCATCTTTAGTCACACACTTGCTCACAAAAGCCCTTAAGCCAAGATTCATACTTAACCCACAACCGCCTACTCTTTATCCATGTCTTACAAAACACTCGAGTGAATATTTCTCTTTATTTTTCTAAATTTGCTACCATTTATATCAATAGAGATGTCTCGAGTCCATCGCCCCGTCGGCGCCGAATCGTCGCGACTTCGCGTCTCCTAGCCACCCCTACGGAAACTGTAACAACTAAATACAGGCTGTTTGAGAAAACTTATTTAAAAATCAGTCTCTGGTTCCGCGTTTCTGTGGGAGGTATTAATAGCTTCCTTAAAAGAAAAAAATTTTAAAGTTAATGAAAATGTATTTTTTATTCTCTATGAAAATAAAGGAGGCAATTGGTACTCAAAACAATACCTACATCCACTCAAGTTAGTGGGACGCATATTTTATAATAGTATTATAATAGTATTATATATAATAGGTGTAGAGGCATTGCTTACAGCCTACTATGGTCTAACAGAATCTCATCTACGCTACGGTATCATATTTTGGGGCAACTCAACAGACAAAGACACGGTGTTCAAAGCCCAAAAGAGATGCGTTCGTACAATATTTAAAATTAAACCTACTGACAGTTGCGTGCCTTACTTTAAAACATACGGAATACTTACGTTGCCATGTCTGTACATTTTAGAGGTAGCTGTATTCGTCAAAATAAATCCACACCGATTCAAACTATTACATGAGATAGTCCCACGTAACAGGCGCGACAACAGTAAGATATGCTCTCATGCTGCGAGAACAGCCCTTATGCGCAAAAGTGTTTTCTGTATGGCTCCGATAATATATAATAAAATTCCCAAAAGTTGGAGAGAACTGCCATTATCACTATTCAAAAATAAGCTTAAAACTTTTTTAGCTAATAAAGTGTACTATAGTGTTATACATTTTTTGAATGAAAACGATTTTTCTCTTCCGACATCTAGTTAAGAATTGGTTAAGAATGACAATTTAATACGAATTGGTAAATCTTGACATAATAAATACTATATACTGGACATAATTTAATTAATTTTTGACTAATGTGCCTCATATGCTTCATACTTATCTTGACATAAATTAACATTTATTTCTTGTGCATTGTGTAATAAAATTGATTATATAAATGGAAATTAAATTACTGTTTTATGTCTATATAATATTTGTACGCCGTTTATCGGCAAAACATGGACGCTCACAACACACTATTAAATTAATAATACCTTGCATGTCTTATTTCATGTATACGCTTGTTTCACAAATAAATTATCTTTCTTTCTTTCTTTCTATATTTATTATAAATTAATATTTATTAATTAAATGTTTAATGTTATTTTCGTCTTGTTTTACTACATAAAGGACAAGTTAATCAGCTGAAAGAACTTACTTTTCCTTATGCAACATCATAAAGTGAAAGTTCCAATTATAATAAATTATTTTCTCCCTGCTTGTATCCTTATTTCGGTTAATAGGTACTTATTTAATTTTATACATTTATATTCCGATTGTTATTATAAGATTTTTTACTTCAACAGCTGACTCATTTTTAATTATTTATTCATGTGATCCATGTTTTTAATAAATTTCATTTACTTATTATTTTAGAATATTCAGGTAAAACACTTACATACATATATAAGTTAACATTTTATTAATAAAATAACTTACCATGTATCATATTATATCAAAACTATCGTACACTAAAACAAAATAAACAATAAATTAATTATCAATATAAACGCTGCAATGAAACACAGCCTGTACCTTCATATTTATGTTTCTATGTGTGAGTACTTACTGCTCGGTAGTATAATGTTATGGGGGTGGTTTACCCCGGAGATATGATTCAGGGAATTTGTGATTTACGAATTATGAAGGGGATACACTAGTTGGGGATGTTATATTGTGCATTATTTCGATCATGTGATAAAATTCAGTTGGATATTCCAGTTTGTAGTTCCTTTAAATTCTTAGATAAAGAGTGAAGTACTGGACAGTACTAATGCGACTTTTTTCGAGTTATGTGTACTTCATTATTTAGACACCACTGACAAACGGTGCAGAAAAAGTTCATGTAGAAATCTGAAATGATAGTTAAGTATAAGTTTTAAATCGCCAAGTGAGCATGCGTGGCAATTCATCTCTGGTGAGCTTGATTTATGATCTCTCTGTTTGAAAAAAGCCTTTTCTTATCATTTTATACACTTATGATGTGATAGTGTCATAACTTCCCTAAGTTTTAGGCTGTTTTGTAGAAAAAAAGATGGAGTTTTAGCTTAGTATTCTGTTTCCAGTTCATAAAACATTCTTTGTCTAGTACTTTTTTAATATTTGTTATAACTATCAAAAGTTTTATAATTTTATTGTAATAATAAATCAAAAATTAAGATGGAAACCGTGCAGAATTAGAAAAAAAAGCGCTTTAAATACGTTCCAGTCAAGATACATCCTCATTTTTTTAAGACTGTTTATATTTAATTTAATTAATACATTTTTTAGCAAATTTTTCCGAAATTATTATGACGTATGACATAAAAACATTATGGCGCCATAATTACATGTATTGCGATCACACAAGTACAAAATTCATATAAAAGTATCGTTTTCGACATTTCAATAAAATTATTGAATTTAACTAGTTGAAAACTATCGGATTCAATTATCACTTCACAAACACAATTTTAAAACATTTTGTTTTTGAGAGTGCAAAATCACAACATATGTATATCCTACCCTGGGTGGGCGAGAGGGAGTGTCAGACTCTTACTGACAAATAACCAACCTA